CTAGCTAAAGTGTATTTATTATTGTGCTTTGTGATTAAAAAAAATGTGAAAATCACTGGGCTGGAACACTCCTTACTTGGTACTGCACGTGGTGTGCTGTGGATGGGAAGCTGGAGCCTGAGATCTGCTCAAGTCTTGATTTGGGGACCTGTGGCAGACAGGTGAAGTCACAGCTTCAGAGGCAAAAATGACAACCTCACACAAAGGCCATCACAACTTAGTCCAAAAAGTACTTCTGCAAGGACATCTTCACAGTATCTCCCTGTCCAACCCGGGACTGACGCCACTCTTGTTATTGATTCCTGTAGCCAAGAGGGTGGTTGCAAAACATCTTTGTGCAATTCTTCTGGTCTCACCTTTAAAATTTCCCCTTATCTCAAATCTCTTTGATATTCCCACATGTGTTCTTGGGACACTGCTCTGCAACTCCAGAATGCATTTGTTATCTTTGGAGATTCTCTGTTTGTTGTAAAGGTTGACATAAATAGCAGATGCTTGCCAAAGAGCAAGGAATGGGGTTATGAGCAGAGCTGGGAACCACTGACCTCTTGAAAATCTCCAGACCCTTCCATTCACTAAAATCTATTCATTGTTTTCATTAGCCAGATTAAAAAACAAAACAAAACAAAACTTACATTCACTGTCACTCTGAGACAGGGGTGTGGGAGAAGCCGCTCACAGAAACCACTGTCATGCAGACAAGCGGCAGATGAGAACCAGGAGGGGCCTGGCATCAGAAGCCAAGAGAGGAGAATGTTTTGCAGGGAAAGAAGTTCAAGATTGTCAACTGTGACTGGAGGTCGAGTTACGGAGGTCGAGTTACGTAAGTGCTGAAACCTGAGCATGCTCATGGACTTGAGCAACACAGAGTGGGCTGGTGACCTTGGGGAGGTACCTCGGGTCTAGAGATGGCAGCCGGACTGTGAAGGGCCCAAAGTGGAAGACAGAGATGTAGGGGTAGGGACAACCCTTCCCAAATGTTTTGCAGGGAAAGTGGGGACAGCAAGAGGCCCTTGGCTAGAAGGGAGATAATTGGTCCACTAGGAACAAACTTGAACCTAGTTTTATAGGAAGAGACAAAATATTCTACAAGCTAGGGTTCCTGGAATGGGCAGGGGTATTCCGTCTTGGTTAAAGGGGATGAGATGAAGCTGTGAATTCTTTCCCTACTTTTCATCACGTCTGAACATCAGAGAAGAATTTTTGTTAATTGCTGAGACAAAATTTAGCCTTGTGACAATGGCTGTTCTTATTTATGTGAGTAAATAGAGAAATCTATTTTTAAATTATGATTCCAAATCATAGAACCATAGGTCCAGGAGGAGGCAGAAATGAGAAGGAACAAAAAAGGATGAAACAGTAGCTCTTCCAAAAATCACATCCATACCCTGTAAACAACATAGTTCCATAAAGAACAATGAGATATTCTGAAAACAAAATTCTCTGGGTAACTGATAAAATCCCAAAGGACAGATTTAATTTCTTCCATGTTTATGGTGATGATCAAACTAAAAATCAGCTTTCTTTTGGTCTTTTTGTTTTACCAAACTTCTGAGGGAATCTGAATATAGGCATCATTACTCAAGACTGGAATATTATGTTCAGGTTTGGGGCCTTGGGTGGTAATTATACCATATTCAAGGTAGATTACCAGGTGTTGCATAATTATTGTGACATCTAGTCTTTAAGGAGTAAGAAAATTTGCATCTGAGTATAAACATTTGTACAGTATTTAATTATTTCCCTGGGGTTTTCGGGGGGGAGGGGGACCTGAGGAAAGCTCTGGAATCCCTGTATAAATCATCTTATCTAATAGCTTTTGGACACAAAGATCGTATTCAGAGATAAAAGTCTCTATATAATCCCCACCCCCCAAAAAAAACTTTCTCAAAATTAAGGAATGAGGAAAACAAATGGCCAAGTTAGGAAAATGCAAAGTTTTGATGGACAGGTGACTCTTCCTTAGTTTCACAGGAGGGAGTAACTGCCTTAGGGTAAAAGTACTTCCTTTTCATTCTTAAAAATCTCCAGACCTTTCCATTCACTAAAAACTATTCATTGTTTTCATTAGCCAGATTTAAAACAAAACTTGCATTCAACAAGTGTGTGTGTTGTTGTTGTGTGTGTGTGTGTGTGTGTGTGTGAGTGTGTGTGTGTTGTGTGTATGAGTGTGGTAGATGTGCAATGTGGTTGGTTGTGCTCAACTTATTATATTCTTAATAATTTTTATTTTCTTATGGTGCTGGAAAAAGAAACAGGAGCCTTGGGCTTGCTGGGCAAATGCTTTACCAGTGAGCTACACCTCAACAGTCATCCAGGCAAAAGGGACCCTAGCCTGGGCATAATTTCTTTTTTTTCCCCCAAATATTTTGTCTTCCATTTTGGAAATCTGCAAAAGCATTATTTATTTCTACTCTCTGTCAAGATCTGAATACTGAGTTTTACTTTTTCAAACATGAAATAAAGCATGTGTGTTTGGGGGACAGGGACATCCAGTTCACTTCCAGTATAAGTTATGTCCTGGGTGGAGCAAGAAGGCTTATAGAAAAAGAAGCTCTCCATGTTAGCTCAACCTCAAGTTGTTAGTCAAGGTGACTTATTCGGGCCTTTGAAGGCCAATATGCCCATGGAAAGAAACTGACTACTCACAATTTTATACAAGTTCAGATACCTACAACTATGTCTTTTAGTATCTGTCATTTTTGAAGTTGTAAACAAACAAAAGCTGAGTTTTAAGCACAGAGGAAAAAGCATCCTATGCTGTGAGGGAAAAAAAAAATGGGCACAAGAATTTTCCTCAGAAAGAACTTTGTGAATTTCCATAAATTCTTTGAAGTTATTCTTAAATGACTGACTTCATTGTCCAAAGACTCAGACTAAGGAGTTGGAATTTCCCACTCTTTGCCATACTGCAGGATCACAGTTACATAAAATAATTGGCATTACCAGAAATTCAGCTCCGGAACAGGGCAGAGATTTCACGTAGTTTCTTCTTATTAATTAAAATTGTAGCTGTTTTTGTTTTGATTTAAATTCTCTTGGTTAGTGGGTTGGTTAAAGCTGGTGCTAGTCAACTTGGCAAGGTGCCCGATGTCTGGAGAGAGACAAGCTTCCTCTATGTGGGAGACACCCCTGTGGATTGCTGCTCTCCCTCTTTTTCCTCCTTGTGGACAGAATTCCATTTTATGGTAGTGCTCCCCTATGGGTTCAGCATTGAGGATGACTTACCCTACAAGGCAGATGGGGGTAGGTGATATGGAGAATGGTCATCAGTCTCTATGGGCCAATTATGGTAATTCCTGTCCCTTGTCTCTGATAGATTGGCACAAAACCTCATCTTCTACAGCTGGTCTCTTTGGGGGGTGGAGATCTGATCTTTTAGCCTTGGCCCTCTAATACTTCACACTTAGATCCTTTCCTATCACTCTTCAAGGCCTGATGTGTCCTTATGATCAACTGCAGTCATGGAACATTGGGAAAATCCCTATTTGGTCTCTTGCTCAAACTATTGTTTGTTCCAAACTGAGGGAACAAAGGTGATCATGAATCTGAGTAGAGCAACTCTGTACATCAGAGTCCCACCAGCTAGTTATTTTTATTTCTGGTCTTTTCCAACTGTCAATCTAGAATCCCACACCGAATGGTTTCCACCATAGACAATGTTCCATGTAATGCGGTTGCCTCTTTTACCTCAGGGAAGCTTCTTTGAATAGCTACAAGTAACTCTTACCAACTTTTCTTGATTCATAAAAGTTACTCACTCTATTCACTTGTATTGGAACATCTTTGTGGTTTCTTTCAGTTGCCGAAACAGAAATGGATTGTTATGTACAGCAGAAATATGTTAATGTGTCTCCCTGTAATTTTACACACATGCGCGTGCAGTCTTTGGTTTATAACTTCCCTCCCCACATCCTTGCACTAAACCTTATAATAAGCTCATTCATTCGTAATTCTATTCAGTTGCATGATGTTTTTCAAATAGAGTTAGTCAATGCATCTGTTTTCCTGGGTAAAAAGAGGTTGTTTGGAAAGGCATTGAGAGAGAGGAAAGCTGGCTGAGTAGGGATTGCAATACTAAAAAATCTGTGAGCCCAGCAAGGCCCAACGGACGACTCTCTTAGAGAAATTCTTAGTGTTTGGATGTCCCTAGCCCCTCCGCCCCAGCGCTGATCAAGCCTTCTGGTCCTTTAGATATAAAGTTATCCTAGTGCCCTGCCTATGGTTAAGCAGATGCTTGGTAAGGAAAGAAGAACTGGTCTGGAAATAATTGCTCAGGCGTGGTAATTGTCTGATTGCACAAACATCGCCTCATCAATTTTTCTCACAATCCCAGAGAGGAAGCGGCATCCGTCGTGGCCTGAATAGGAATGCGTGTTTGGAGTCTCTGGGTGGGGCCGAGAGCGGCGGGGGTGGGGGTGGGGGACACACTCCGCCCTCGGAGGAATCACAGCGGCGAGCAGAACCTTCCCTGTCCCTTCAGTGGTGGGCCCCTGTCCGGCCAGCCTGGGCCAAAGGCCGCGGGAGGTGACGGGTCTGGTGAGCTTCGGGACAGCGCGAGAAGGGCAATTTCCGTCTCCAATTCGAGAGAGCTCTGCACCGCTGCCACCCAGACCCGCGCCAGGGCCCTCCGCTGCCTGCACACCGCGGATCGCGGTGTCCCCGCTCACAAATCCCCGCCCCCGCGGGCGACTCCCACGCCTGGGGCCCTCTCCCTCGCGGGCGCCAGACCCCATCTCCCACGACTGGACCCAGAGGGTCTGCGGCCGTGTCTTTAAGGCTGCGGTCCCTGCCCTCCGGTCCCCGCCCTCCCGCCCGCCTCCTCGCTCGCGCCGCCGCTCCTCCCGCCCTCTCCGAGGAGCCGGGCGTGCGCTGCGCTGCGCGCGGAGCAGGTGCGGGCGAGCCCCTCGCATGAGGTTGCCCGACTGACAGTGGTAGCGGCGCCGGGGGCTCCGCCCGCCCCTCCTCGGGGCCGCACTCGGACTCCGGCGCGCGAGGAAATGTCGGTGGTGACGGGCAGCAGCGAGGCGGCCGCCGGCGGGGCCGGTGGCGGTGGGGCGCGGGTTTTCTTCCAGAGCCCCCGCGGCGGTGCCAGCGGCAGCTCGGGCTCCTCCCGGGAGGACTCAGCGCCGGTGGCCACGGCGGCCAATGCCGGGCAGGTTCAGCAGCAGCAGCAGCAACAGCAGCAGCGGCGCCACCAGCAAGGAAAAGTGACAGTGAAATACGACAGAAAGGAGCTTCGGAAGCGGCTCGTGCTGGAGGAGTGGATCGTGGAGCAGCTGGGTCAGCTGTACGGTTGCGAGGTACCTGGGCGAGGGGACGGGAGGGTTGGGACCTCGCTGGCTCCTCTGTGCTTGCGCAGGAATTCCCTTCGGCTCCAGCTCCCAGGTGCGCACAGTTCTGGCTCCCGGGCACTGAGCGCTGGGACCCAGGCGCTGCGCGATCTCTCTCCCCCGGGTGCCCTCTGGCGCCGGGACGCTGCGGCTGGGACGCCGCTGCCGAGTTTAGCTGCTGGGTGCCTGGAGAGCCTGCGGGCTCCCTTGATGGCGCGGGGCGGTCGATGTGCTGGGTCTTGGGAAGCGCTTTTTTTTTTTTTTTTTTTTTTTTTTTTTTTTTTTGTCTTTCTCCGAGATCCGGATGCTTCTGGGCTACAACAGTAGCTACACGAAGTGGGGCTCGGAGAGACTCATCCCAGCTGTGCCTAAGCAGCGGTTGGGGAAACCGCAGCAGGAGAGAACAGCACCCACTGCCCCGGAGATGGGCAGCCCAGATTTTGATGGAGAAGGAACAGGGAAGAAATCTTAAGCTGTGTAACAGAAAGGAAGGATTCTGGGGATCTCAGAGATTCGATATCAAAACCATGAGATGAATGCTTTCCCTTTTCCAGCCAGACCCTATGCGTTTCCCCATAATTCGTTCTTGTATTTCCAAAGCTGCACACGTTGGCCTTTGTTGAAGAAGCTTCTTTGGGGCTATTCAAGCTCAATTATTCATTCCCACAGATGGGGGCAGAAGGAGACCCTTGGGCCCACTTCGTAAAGTGCCTAAACGGGTGGTGTGCGGGATGCCCAGGATCTGCCAGTTGGGGCGCTCAGCTTCCCTCCACATCACATTGTGGCTGCCCACAGTTCAGGAGCTAAGGTTATCCACGGGTCTGACGTACACATTTGATATTGGGAGAAATATTTAAAATAAATGGTAACAAACATATGCTAGAAAAATGACAGAAGCCAAATGATCTCCCAAGAGAGTCCTTTAATAGCAGAGATGAAGCATTCTACCTCTCTTACACGAGTGGAGTTTGGAAAGGTGGAAGCATGAAGGGGATTAATAATTAAGGATATGGCTTCTAAGTTAAAGCTAGATTTGTGTCCATAAAACTGTTACACTCTTCAGCAAAAATGAAAGCCAGATGAACTCACTGGCTTTACCACTGATTTGGGGGCATTCTGTATTTCACACGTTTTATGGCCTATTGCAAATACATATTTTCTTTCACATTCTTATTGCACAAAGAAACAGCATTCTCATTGCTGACTACTGATGAATGATTATGATATAATGAAGCTTGACTGAATAACTAATGAGCTCGTAAAAATATATTGTTTCTCCATCCCAGCTCTTAAAATAAGCCAATTTAATTGCCTAAATAAAAACTGGCCAAATTAAGAAGTGTTCATGGGATTTTTTTTATTGGAAGTTGGTGGAACTCTTTAAAGAAACTATGTTTGATTTAGGTGGAATTCCAATTGGACGAATAGATGTGCTCAGTCTTGCCTCTGTAGAATCTAATTTTCATTTACTTCCTACTGTCTTTATACTCCATTTTGGGTTTGGAGTAGATTTAAGGAGGTTTGAGTTAATAATAAAAAAAAACTATTGTTAAAATTAACAATGTTTCAATAGATGTAGCTTGGGAAACTAGACAGAGTTCTACTTACTATGTAGGTTGACAAACTATATATTTTATTATTTATTATTGGGGGGGATGGGGGCTAAATGTTCTTTGTATTGACCATATTGGTGAGGTATGCATTTTAAAAAGTAAATATGACCTTGAATCTTTTCCTTATACTTTTCTTCTCAGGTTTTAGAGCTTCAATTTGTAGCAAACAGCTTAACATTTGAAAGAGAGGCTTTTAGAGTACTACAATACAAGATGCTGTATATGTCATTAAAATGTGGCAAGTATTTCTTTGCAAATTGTGCAGTCATCAAAAGACAAAGGGATAAATATCATTGAGAAGGCTAGTTGGTCATTTGTCATCACTATGATGGTGGCAGACCTTCATTTGATAATAAAGAAACACTGTGGACTGAAAAGTAGCCAAATCAAGGATTATGACTTCCCATCTATTTCTCCACTGGTGGGACTCTATTTTTAGCTCTAGGTTCTCTTCTCTGATTGCATTTCTGTGCTGATTGCAAGCATTTCAGCCTCTGGTTTTTGGATCTAGAAGCACCTACCCTGACTTATAGCTCTGAATCCTCTTGACTATGAAGATTAGGAAGTAGCCTTCTTACATTTAAAACTGATAATATTTTCAAATGTTTATTGCATGAAATTGACACAGAAGGCCAAATTGCCTGATTTCAAACTTCACTATAGCCAAGGCCTGAGTTAACTGCTGAGTTGGGGTAGAGGGTAAATAGATGTTTAAGTTCAGAACTTTGGTATCAGACAGGATAGCAGTTAGATGACTTGTCCTTGTCCTTTTCAGGATAGAAAATCATTTTTTTTTAGAGTGGCATAAAGCCAGATATTTAAAATTAGAAAGAAATGGGAAAGAAATACACAGACATGACTGTGGTTTTACCCAGAAGTTTGTAGTGGCCAATCAGTTTTATTTGGAGAAAAATGCAATAAACAGTATTTATTGTGTACTGAAGTATTGGGTGCTATTCTGGGCCCTTCATATGCACCAATTTATTTGGTCTTCATAGCAACCCCTTTGGTGAGGGTGCTTTTACTAACAGTGTTTTACAAATGAGGAAACTGAGATTTGAGTAAGGCTGAGAAGCTTTCCCAAGCTCACATAGCTGGGAAATGGAATGGGGGTGAGGAGTAGGAAGCCAGGCATTGTGACTCTGAGCCACCCACACATGCCAGGCCAGCCTATAACTTTGCAGGATTCTTTGCATGAGAACAAGGAAATACTTTAACCTTAATAAAAAAATTTTTGCTCATAGGTATTTATAAAAATCTGTTCTATTCCCCTACCTTGACACTTGTAATCTTCAGAATGTCCTGGAAGGCTAGGTTTGAATTTTGATTTGTTGCACTTCCCCAAGCTCTGAGCAGGAATGCAGTTGGGGCAATCAACCCCTGGCCTGGGTGTGTTCCCTTTTGGTTCCCACTCTGGTACAGTCCCCCCTAGTGAGGCCTTTGTGTCCACTTGCATGACCAATCTTTGTATGCATTTTTGGCCATCCTTGATCATGCTGCCTCTGGCTCACCCCCAACCGGGAAGACACCCTGCAACACTCTAGAAGCTGTTTGGTATTTCATGAGATTATTCTGGAGACCTGAGTAAAGCTTAAAATGAGGTAGAGAGACATTAGTTTCAGATAGGTGCGTCTACTTGGTCCTCAGATATCTCCAGGAAGGTGGGGTGTGGCAGGAGTAGAGCCCAGGGCTGTGGCCCCTCCTACCCAGTCTGAGGGCTACATTGTCCGACAGCATTCATGGAAAGGAATCATACAGTTTGCATACATAGATGGATGTTTTTATTAAATTCTAAAATGATTAGCTATGTGTTTATAGTTCTTTTTCATTTCATCTTCTTGTGGGAAAGCTTGTACAGAGAGTTAAATTTTTTTAGTTAGGAATTTGGTTGTAATGGAACTGTTAGGTTAAATCTACACTCATATGTAAGGATGTCTATTTTAAGACATTTTCATATCTCTTCCAAACCCTGACTGTTTTTAAGAGCATTTGAAATCTGGCATACTGTCTACTCTGACAAGTGTTGCAAGATGAATTACTGGATAAGTCATCGATTTTTTTTTTTTCAGTCAAGATAACATCTGTACTTCCAGTTTTGCAGTTTGGTCTGCTTTGGAAAAGAAAGTAAGTTGCTAAGCTCAAATTATTGAAATGCCAGTAGCTGCCTAGCCATGAACAATCTGTGTGCTGGGGTAATTGCTGTGCTATTCTGACTGTCCATTTGGGGTCTTCCTTTTGCTTCAGGCATCTGCCTTTTTAAAAGGGGCCTCTGGCTTATTACATTTTTTTTCATCTTCCCTGATTCTAAAATCCTCATCCTATAAAAGAGTGTTTTTTGAGTTTTCAATGGTGACACAGAAAGAAATACCTGGTAGCTTGCTGCCAGATACATACACAGACACATGGATATATAGAAAAAGAGTTTCACTAGGCACCAGTTAATCTTACTCCATGTACTAAAGAAAAATTATGAATCATCTAAACCATGATTTTGTTAATGTTTAAATACATCATTCTACAAAACCCCCCTATATTTACAAAAAAAATAAATGCAACTTTCTATTCTGTTTTATTTTCTGCAAGTGCTGGTTGAGACCCACAATTGATTTCCTAACACAGTTGTGAGTTGTGACCTGCAATTTAAAAAAAATCTTACTTGAAAACAATCAATGAGGTGAACAGAGAGCGTACATTTTGGGAACAAATTTTTGCCACACACACACACACACACACATCAAAAAACTAATCTCCAGGATATATAAAGAACTCAAAAACATTAACACCAAAAAACCAAACAACCCAATCAGTAAATGGGCTAAGGAGCTGAACAGACACTTCTCAGAAGAAAACATACAATTGATCAACAAGTATATGAAAAAAGTTCGACATCTCTAGTAATTAGAGAAATGCAAATCAAAACTACTCTAAGATTTCATTTCACGCCAGTCAGAATGGCAGTTATCAAGAATACAGACAACAATAAATGTTGGTGAGGATATGCGGGGAAAGGAACACTCATACATTGCTGGTGGGACTGTAAATTGGTGCAACCAATCTGGAAAGCAGTATGGAGATTCCTTAGAAAACTTGAAATGGAGCCACCATTTGACCCAGCTATCCCACTCCTTGGTCTATACCCAAAGGACTTAAAATCAGCACACTGTAGTAATGCAGCCACATCAATGTTCATAGCAGCCCAATTCACAATAGCTAAACTGTGGAACCGACTTAGGTGTCCTTCAGTAGATGAATGTATAAAGAAACGATAGTATATATACACAATGGAATATTACTCAGTGATAAAAGAGAATAAAATCCTGGCATTTGCAGGTAAATGGTTGGAGTTGGAGAATATCA